TGAAGTCGGACGCTTAACGGACTGCGCCACCCAGGCACCCCGCTAGGTTTTGTATTTTTAGGAATTTGTCAGTTTGTCAGTTTCATCAAGTATATCAAACACAGCTATAAACTGCGACTAGTTCACAGTACTGTTAATGTTTCTTTCATTTCTGCAGAATAAGTAGTAATGTCCTCACTCTCATTCCTGAATTACTAGAAGTAAATTTCTTCTCTGCCTATCTAGCTAAAGATTTGCTAATTTTGTCAATCTTTTCAAAGAATCAGCTTTGGTTTCATTGGTTTACTCTATTGTTTTTCTGTTTTCTGTTTGTTTTTATCTCTTGTTCTAATCTTTCTTCAGCTAGCTTTGGGTTTAGTTTATTCTTTTACTAGTTCTGTAAGTTTTAGTTAGATTGTTGATTTGAGCTGTAAGCTTTCCTCTTAACACTACTTTCACTGGTTTCTGTAAGTTTTGGTATGTTGTGTTTTAGTTTTCATTTTCCTAATTTCCCATGTGATTTCTTCTTTGATCCATTGGTTGTTTAGGAGTATGATGTTTAATTTCCACAAATGTGTAAATTTTCCAGTTTCACCTGCTACTGACTTATAACTTCAAAAGAAGTATATTTCTTTTGAAATATATTGAGATGTAATATGTTGAGGCTTAAGGTATGGTCTTTTCTGGAAAATGTCCATTGTATACTTGAGAAAAAATGTGAATGCTGCTGTTCTTTGGTAGAATGTTCTGTATTTGCTAGATCAAGTTGATTTATTGTGTTTTTCAAGTCCTCTATTTCCTTGTTTACCTTCTGTCTGGTTGTTCTATCGTTATTGAGAGTGGGGTATTGACGTCTCCAACAATTATGGAAAAGCTATATATACAAACATAAATATAATATTATAGATATATATAGATATTATAGAAAAGCTATCTAGAGAGACATATATCTGTGGCATATAAATGTCTAGTCTTCCTTTCAATTCTGTCATTTTTTGCTTCTTATATTTTGCTGGTCTTTTACTAGATACATAAATGTTTATAATTGTTATTTTTTCTTATTGTGTTGAACCTTTTGTTAATGTATAATATCTTTTGTCTATTATAAACTTTTTTGATTTAAAGTCTATTTTGTCTGATATTAAGATAGCCACCTGTCCTCTCTTTTTGGCTACTATGTGCATGGAATATCTTTTTCAGTCTTTTCACTTTCAATCTATGTGTATCTTTGAATCTAAAGTGAGTCTATTTTAGATAGCATATAGTTTTGTGTTTTTATCCATTCTGCAAATCTCTGTATTTTGAATAGAGAGTTTAAACCGTTTATATTTAAAGTAATTACTGATAAGGAGGACCTTACTTAGGTCATTTTGCTATTTGTTTTCTTTATGATTTATGACTTCTCTGTTTATCATTTTCTGTCTTATTGTATTCTTTTGTGTTCAGCTGATTTGTTTATAGTGAAACATTTAAATTCATTTCTCATTTCCTTTTGTGTATATTCTATACCTGTTTCCTTTGTGGTTACCATGGAGATTACATCTAACATCCTAAAGTTATAGCACTCCATTGTGAATTTATTCCTCTTTTACACCTCTATCCCTACTCCTTTCAATTGTTGTTATCACAGAATTACACCTTTATACATTGTATGCCCCAAAACATAATCTAATAGTTATTTTAAATATACTTGTCTCGGGGCGCCTGGGTGGCGCAGTCAGTTAAACGTCCGACTTCAGCCAGGTCACGATCTCACGGTCCGTGAGTTCGAGCCCCACGTCGGGCTCTGGGCTGATGGCTCAGAGCCTGGAGCCTGTTTCCGATTCTGTGTCTCCCTCTCTCTCTGCCCCTCCCCCGTTCATGCTCTGTCTCTGTCTGTCCCAAAAATAAATAAACGTTGAAAAAAAAATTAAAAAAAAAATAAATAAAATAAATATACTTGTCTCTTAAATTACATAGAAAACAGTATGTGAAATTACAAACCAAAGTTACAATAATACTATTTTAGACTAAAAATTTTTTTAAATATATTGTTCTCTTAAATCGTGTATAAAACAAAAACTTTAGTTACAAACCATTGTTACAGTAACATTGGCTTTTATAACTATCCATATATTTACCTTTATCGAAACTTCTGTTTCTTTATACAATTTTGGGTTACTGTCAAGTGTCCTTCATTTTTCCCTGTAGGACTCTCTTGAGCATTTCTTGCAGGGCAGGTCTAGTGGCAATGAACTTTTACAGCTTTTGTTTATCTTCAGTGTCTTAATTTCTCCCTTACTCTTGAAGGATAGTTTCGCTAGACACAGGATTCTTGCCTGATAGTTTTTTTTCATTGAGAAGTTTGAATATATTGGCCCACTGCCTTCTGGCCTCCAAAGTTTCTGATGAGAAATCTGTTAACATATTAAAAATTCTTTGTATGTGATGAATTTTTTCTCTCTTGCTGTTTTCAAGACTTTCTCTTTATCTTTGGCTTTCACAAGTTTAATTATAATGTGTCTTGGTGAGGATGTATCTTTTAGTCCATCTTAATTGGAGTTTGTTGAGCTTCTGGGATGTTTATATTTATGTTTTTCATCAAATTTGGCATTTTTTGGGTGCCTGGGTGGCTCAGTTGGTTGAGCGTCCGACTTCAGCTCAGGTCATGATCTCGGAGTCTGTGAGTTCGAGCCACGTGTCGGGCTCTGTGCTGACAGCTCAGAGCCTAGAGCCTGCTTCGGATTCTGTGCCTCCCTCTCTCTCTCTGCCCCTCCCTCTCTCTCTCTGCCCCTCCCCCGCTCATGCTCTGTCTCTCTTTCTCTCTGTCAAAAATAAATAAACATTAAAAAAAATTAAGTTTGGCGTTTTTCAGCCAGTATTCCTTGAGATATTCTCTCCTCCCGCTTCTCCTTCTCTTTTCCTTCTGGGACTCCCACAGCTTGCATGTTGGTCTGCTTACTGGTGTACCATAGGTCTCTTAAGCTCTGCTTACTTTTCTTTCATCTTTTTTCTTTCTGTTTCTCAGACTTGACAATTTCCATTGTTTATCTTCAAGTTATCTTCAAGAATCCAGGCTGGTTACTTTCTTCTGCCTGCTCAACTCTGCCTTTGAATCCCACTAATGAATTGTTCCTTTCAGTTATTCTACTTTTCAGCTTCAGAGTTTCTGTTTGGTCTTTTTTTAGTTTTTGTCTATTTATTGATATTTCCATTTTGTGCATCATTTCTTGAATTTCTCCACATCTTCCTTTAGTTTTTGAGCATCTTTAAGACATTGGTGTTCAGGTCTTTGTCTAGTAGATCTGCCATCAGGTCTTTTTCAGGGTCAGTTTCTATTGATTTTTTAATTTCCTTTGAATGAGACATAATTTTGTGTTTCTTTATATGCCTTATAATTTTGTATTGAAAACTGGATATTTCAGTTTAATAGTGCAGGAACTCTGGAAATCAGATTCTTTCCCTTCCCCTGAGTTTACTCTGTGTGTGTGTGTGTGTGTGTGTGTGTGTGTGTGTGTGTGTTTAATTGTTATAGGCTACAAGGATCAGTCAAAGATCAGTTTGAATTGTAAACTTAAGGTCTTTTCAGTTCTTTTGTGAATCTGTACCTTTCTCTGGAAATGACTGATAATTTCTCAGTTTTCTCCATATGTGTTGTTATTTTTTGAATGTCCTCATTTTTAATATCTGGCTCTCCTAAGGGGACAGGACAACAATCTAGAGGGAAGGAAAAACCCTTTAAGTTCCCTGGAAGTTGTCAGATGGGAAGGGCTTGCAACAACGGTGGGGGGTGAAGGTGCATCACCAAAGGCTGCCTGCCTGTTTGTCTACACCTGTGTGATCAGAAGCAGCAACCAACAATCAGAGCACAGATCTCCTGGATTGGAGGACAGAGTCCCTTTTTGTCCACCCTGGCTCCCACAAGTGTGCAAGCTGTTCCAGAAACATGTGCACAGCTGCCTGCTGCTGGGGCTGCGGTGAGGGAATGGGTAGCTGCTACTGGGCTAAGAGCAGAAATTGACTGGAGTTAACCACAAGTTACCCCCCAAGCCTTCCCCTGGAAGTTGCAAGCCTTCAGTAGACACCAGAGTTCTAAAATAGTTACGTTAGATTCTGCCAGCACAGTTGTCTAGAAGTGGAGACAGATTCCTGGTGCTTCCTAGTCCACTTTCTTCCCAGGATCCTCTCTGTCTACTGCAGCTTTTTAAAGGACTCATAAACCGTAATGTGTTTCTGACTTCCCTATTACTTATTTCTTCACAGTATTAATAAAAATTATGGGTAGAACTGGTGATTTTGTTTTGTCTTAATAGTCATCTCTTTTTCTGACAATTTAATGTGTGATTGACTAGTCAGCATATTTACAAAGAAGGAAAAATTCTATAATCATCTCTAATTCTAGGTTAGGGGCCTGGGTAAGTTTTTGGGTGAAACTCTGTCATTGTATATGTTGAATAAGAACAATTGATTTGAAGTCATTGAATGGGGTCGTGAAAGGTCGTGGATTTTCAACACTAGCTGCCTTGGGTTTAAGACTGGCTTTGTTAATCACTATCTGACCATAGGCCTTGAAGTGCAATCTCTATGTCTCTAGCACCAGCATACTGGTAAAATCTACTATGCAAGGTTGTTGTTTAAATTAGAACTGGGTGGCTCAGTTGGTTAAGCATCCAACTTCAGATCAGGTCATGATCTCACAGTTCATAGATTTGAGCCCCACATGAAGCTCTGTGCTGACAGTATGGAGCCTGCTTGAAATTCTCTGTATCCCTCTTTGTATCCCTTCCCCTCTCTCTCTCTCAGAAATAAATAAACATTTTTAAAAATAATTAAATAAATTAGAAAAAAGAAACAAATTGGAACATATAAGGCAATCAATAGTAGGTAACAATTTTTATTTTTTATTATAATTATCTTGATACCACATCTCATCTTTATTATTTCCTTTATTCAACTTTCTATTTAACTTTTCATGAGTTCTAGTGAGTTTCACGTTGGAGTTTATAAAGAAATTTTAGATATACCCTTTTTGCTTATTTTAGGACTTTCAAATGCCTTGGGAACAGGAATCAGAACTTACAAAGAGGGATAAAGCTGCCAGAGTCATTCAGAGGGCCTGGAAACGTTTTCTTGTGAGTTTGTTTCATTGTTTTGTAATCTTACTGTGATATAATTTATATAGCATAAGGTTCACCTGTTGAAAGTGTATATATAATTCAATCATTTTTAGTATATTTACAGATTGGTGTACCACCCTTTGCTTTAAAAGCACCCATTTTTTAGAAGTTCAGAAATTTAACATTAATTAATCATTCCATTAGCCTCGCAAATCCTTACTGAGCTCCCGGTCAGGGTCAGGCACTCTGAAAATAACTATGATCACTGAAAGTATCACGAATAGGATCCTTTGGCTTTTACCTCTAAAACTATTTCTTGACTCAGCAATCAGGTTTCTGAGAAAGTGTTAGGGATACATTCATTCACTCATTAAATAGTTATCGAGTACTTGACTCTTGAAGACTTAAAGTTTAATAATAAACTGTATCTGAGTTAATACACTTTGTCATGCTATAGTCTGGGTAGAGCTGGTCTCATTGGTGGAAGGAATATTCCAGGTTGACTTACCTGGTTGAGTGAGAGCCAATAACTAAAATGACTTCACTCTTTCTTCCGTGTTTGTAGCAACACTGTCTGCGCCTGATAATTATACGTGAAGTGCGATGGCTCTGTTTCTAACACACATGATCCGTTAATCGAGTCTTACAAAATAGCTTCCATTATGTGTTTCTTTTGCCTCTTTCAAGCCATAAAACCCCTAACTCTTGATATCCAATACTAAAATAATAATTTCCTTAAAAAAATTTTTAATGCTTTAAAAAAAATTTTTTTTTAATGTTTATTCTTGAGACAGAGACAGAGCGTGAACAGGGGAGGGGCAGAGAGAGAGGGAGACACAGAATCGGAGACAGGTTATTGGGGCACCTGGGTGGCTAAGTCGGTTAATCATCTGACTTTGGCTCGGGTCATGATCTCACGGTTTCTGAGTTCAAGCCCTGCATCATGCTCTACTGATGCTCAGAGCCTGCTTGGGATTCTCTCTCCCTCTCTCTCTCGCTCTGCTCCTCCTCTGCTGTCTCTCTCTTCCTCTCAAAATAAATAAAAACATAAATTTTTTTTAATTATTTTAATATTTATTCATTTTTGAGAGGCAGAGGCAGAGTATGCATAGGAGAGGAATAGAGAGAGAGAGGGAGACACAGAATCTGAAGCAGGCTCCAGGCTCTGGGCTGTCAGCACAGAGCCCAACACGGGGCTGGAACCCATGAACTATGAGGTCATGACCTAAGCTGAGTCAGACGCTTAACCAACTGAGCCACGCAGGTGCCCCTAAAATATCTTTCTTAAAATTGTGATCAATTTAGATAAGATCTGTATGTTGAAAGGATTAAAGCGGGTTGTATTTGGAGATCAAATGGTGTCCCATGCAATAGAAGGTGTGACTGAGCAGTTGGATTTAAAAAGTGGTTAGAAACTGAAAAAAAGCAACCATGAAAGCCATGGTTCAAATCCTAGGATAATTTAAATAGTTCTAAGACCCAAAGAGAAAACATTTGATCTTAAATCTCGATATATTCTTTTTCAAGTGGCTCAGAGGAGGTTTTCTAAATAAGGATGCTTGATTTTAACACATTACTTGGCCCAGTAAGTGAGTAATTTGCATAGTCAAACTACTGTAAATGAAGGTATTTTCTTTTGTGTGAATATTTTAAGTCAAAATAATGTATATACTTCTTTCAGTAAAATAATATAGAAGAACTTACAAATAAAAGCACATCTTTTACCCCCTCCTATTCTTCTCTACCCTCATACTCTAAAGGGAAGCACTTTGAACTACTTTTTGTTTTAGATGTTCTGGTAGTTATTTCTGTTTCTATATAACATGCTTGTGTAATTATTTTTTATTTGCCAACTTCAGAAGTGACCTGTTGATTTTCTGCAAAGATAATTGAGAGCTTATCTTACTTACCCGTTACACAGCCCTGCCAGTACCATATGTAATGATTTTTTAGTTCTTCTATTTGTTACCTTAATTTTTGTTTAAGTTGATTTATTTTGTGAGAGAGATGGGGTAAGAGGCAGAGAGAGAGGGAGGGGCAGAGAGAGAGAATCCCAAGCAGGCTGTGAGCTGTCAGCACAGAGGGGGACATGTTGCTCAAACTAACAAACTGTAAGATTATGACCTGAGCCAAAATCAAGAGTCAGGGTATAGCCGACTGAGCCACCCAGACGCCCTTATTGCCTTATTTCTTTACAGCACAGAGCCTGGAGCCTGCTTTGGATTCTTTGTTAATGTCTCTCTCTGCCACTCCCCCATTCACACTCTGTCTCTCTCTCAAAAATAAATTTAAAAAAACATTTAAAAATTGTTTAAAAAAAGAATTTAAACCTGGGGCGTCTGGGTGGACCAGTTGGTTAAGTGACCTACTTTGGCTGAGGTAATGATCTCATGGCTCATGAGTTCGAGCCCCGCGTCGGGCTCTGGGCTGACGGCTCAGAGCCTGGAGCCTGCTTCAGATTCTGTGTCTCCCTCTCTCTCAAAAATAAATAAACGTTAAAAAGAGCATGTTTAAACCTTTGTTTCTTGTTCCATCGTGTTAACATAGGATTATGTGACTCCTTATTATGTCTGACGAAGATATAAATATCCCAACCCCCCACCTTTTTTTTTAACCTATTCTCCCAATCTTCAAACCCCCAAATCCCATTACATCTACTCGTACACTGTCAATATTCACTTGGAGGAGTTTCTCATATATCCTGGGCACAAGTCCTTTATTGAATACATGTGTGGCAGGTATTTTCTCCAGACACTGCATTCTTAAAGATGTTTTTTTTGATAATGAGAAGTCTTTCATTTTAATTAAGTCCAATTTAATCCCTTGTTCTTTATGGTTAGTGCTTTCTGTGTCCTGTTTAAGAGATGTTTGCCCAGGGGTTCCTGGGTGGCTTGGTCGGTTGAATGTCTTGGGTCGCAGTCTCAGGGTTCATAGGTTTGAACCTGACATCGGGCTCTCTGCTGTCAGCACGGAGCCTGCTTCCAATCCTCTGTTCTCCTCTCTTTGCCCTTCCCCTACTCGTTCTCATTCTCTCTCTCTCTCTCTCTCTCTCTCTTTCTCTTTCTCTCTCTCTCAAAAATGAATAAACATTAAAAAATGAAAAAGAAATGTTTGCCTAAAGAGGTGACAATATCAGAACTTACCCAGTGGGAAAAGATCCTAAGGCAGACGTCCAGCTCAGCCAACACAATATTACGTGTCAATTATATTGAAATAAATCTGGGGGGAAATTTTTTTTTTTT